TAATCATAGATTATTACACAGGATTTATAGCCAAAGTTTAATAATAATTAAATTATTGCTCGTAATTTAACCATAGGTATTATTTAATATATGAGATTAATACACCCAATAGAATACAAACAATATTAATATATTCAAACATAATTTCATAACTGTTTTAATGATTCTAAAAGTAATGTTTATTTCAAACATGTCTTTAAATATTTATCGAGTGATTCTTTTAATGGCAAACATCTTATATCACAACAAATCGGTTATCTGTCAGACATTACCACAAGATTTCTGTAACAATACATTCATCTCAAGTGTGTTTCGGTTGAGACACGAGCTCTTCATCGAGAGTCACAGCGGAGACAAAGTGCATAACCTCTGGAAGTGGAACTCAACCATTAGGACAGACACCTCCTCGGCCTCTGAGCCCTTAGACTTCTTCGACACCGCAATACTTCCGTCACGTAATTACGAAAACACTTACAATTCAAACGATTTGTTACGATATCTCACAAAATATTATTCATTGCGTAAGTCTTCATACAATTTACTCCAAGAGATTTTGCTGTTATTTCAAAATCATTTAAATTTTTGTATTCAAACCATTTATTAGATCCGACGGATAGTATCACTGGATTTGCGATTGACCTAGATCGTCGGGTAGACGTGTGCAAAAATTATGGCCATCTATTCAATGTCAGTCAATTGAAAGCCTGCGATCTATACGACGGCGCCCGTAATGAGTCGGACACTAATATGTTGTGTATTTATAATATGTTTAAATGTATGAGTATTTTGCATAAAAATACAATTTTCCCATTAATGAGAAATACACTGAATACTCAAACACCAGACCCGACCCGCGCTTATGTAGTCAAATACCGGAGTCTGGAGAACACGTTTACGGCACCCGATTGTAACCAAACCGATGACAAGTGTATTGTGGCGTCCATTCACTCCAAACCTTACGATCATTTGCGCGACTTTTGCCTCAATTTTATTGACAGTACATTCGCGCCGAAGTATAGCCACGAAAACCGGTCACTCGTGTCCATCAGTATAGACAACGAAAGTTATAGAAACGCCTCAAATGTTGCCGTTTTTAAACGGGAAATGACCGGTAAATCGATACCCAATCCTTTTAACATGACTTACGCCGACGATAGAGGAGTGGACACAAAGCACCTGGACTTAGACACCGATGAAAGCGTACATTTGTTGGTGGACTTCGGCGACGACTATCCCCTGTTTGGTTGTCCGCAAAACTGTGTACTAAACTCCACGTTAACTAACATCACAATCGATGAGAACAACATAACAGTTAACATACATGTGAATTGTGTTTCACTCAATAGTTTATAGCAATAACTTTATTCAATACTTATAAAACTCACACATATTTTATATATGTTTAGCCGGCGTTTCATTTGGCGATATTTTTTCGTTGCGTTGAAAAGCGGGTGCCGTTCACTCCATACGACTTGTGCGCCAATAACTGAACGTTTGATCGGGTGTTGAGTTTGGGTTGGGATCTGATTCTGAGACGAGACACAAGGTTTTGGAGATCACAATACATGCGTTACACCGAAAAGGCCTACCCTTACGACACGTTTGGCCAAAGTATTGTACAAAACATTTATTATGATTCAAATTTTGACACATTTCTGCAAAAACACGGCTTTGGTTTGCATTTTGTTTGCCGTTAATGTAAAGTAATTTATGATTAAAACATTGTTTCAATTTACAGACAGTTTTGATGACATATTCGGGTTTACATACAAATCCAAAGACCAATTCCCGTGCGATAAGACAAATACTGGTTGTTTGAGAGCCTTTGTCAACACTAAATTTCATCATAGCGTGTGTTTATACGGACACAATCATAAGATGCCAACGGGTGGACACATATTCAACATCAATAACATGACAATCGGTGCCTTTGTATACAAATGGGATGGACTCGTGGTTTCCAAGTATGGCGACAATGAGGAGCACAACAGGTTTTGCACAGACATTGCCAGAGAAATAAACTCGTTGTCCGCCGGATCTGCTAATCACAGGTTTGTGGCGATGACTGCCTATACAGAGGGCAGTGCAGCCAATCTTCACAATAACCTGATTGTGGCCATCGATAGCGGCGGACAAAGCGATTATCATATCTATCAGTTTAACTGGACGTACGATCGGTTGCCGATCGCACAGTCGGCCGCTGCTAACGGCATACCCGGCACAGGGTTTACCAAACAGATGATACGCCTAGACATCCAATCAATAGTACCCTCGTCCAGGTTGAACTCCCTGTACCACTACAACAATACTATGATTAGTTATGTGCAAATTGGCAATAAATCAGATGTTTATAAATTATATAAAAGTAAATGGGATGTCGGAAAACCATTTGTATGCAGTTTTGTGTTCAATATGTCATTTAATGGACAAATTGTTTTAATAATAGTTTACAACAAACGATGAATTGAATTGGTCTGAAATGGTCTCATGTCCGGCAAAATACATGACATATCCAGTGATCAGTAGCTATACTGAAGGCGTGTGTAAAGTGAACAGAGAGTATGACAGCCGTCAGAGTATTTTCAATATCGGTAAACGACTATACCATCAAACGGGCCGTCATTTCTATTACTACGATAGAGATGTCCACACCTTTCTCTATGATAGACATGTCACTCAACTTTTGGCCACTTATTTCGGTAAATATCGTTGAATTTATGTTTGTATCACATAATAGTTAATAAGTAATAAATAAATGTCTTAACATTAGATACAAGGAATCGGTTGACCGGCTTTTCACTCGACATAAATCACATTAAACCAAACAATTTTGGCTTTTATTACGTGATAATTCACGGCAAGAGTAGTCACGCGTACCGAGAGTTAGGCCAATATATATACGGACTGTTTCTATACAGCAATAGTTACGGTCTGGGAGTTCCCATCCGAGTACTGATGCCATTGTTTAATATGCCCACAAGTTTGCACCATTGGTTTGGGCCCGACCTCAACAGCCCTAACCCCAACTTTTACTATCAATTGGTGTTCGCGTGGTATCGCACACGTGATAAGACTTTCCACATCTATAATATGCCCACCGTTTCAACCAAGACGTTGGTCGCGGTGCTTAGAAATCAGATCCCGTGGCTCCGAGTGTTCGCACCGTTTATGCCGTCGACGGCCGACGGGAAGGCCTATACCTACGAGTTCTACGACACGCGGTATTTAGAGTTTGATAAAGTGGTCGGCATTTACTTAGACTTCGAGGAAAATACTGATAAAAAATCGCCGCATTTGGTCGCCAACTATCGCGTCGATGAGAAATCATATTTATATGATTACGATATGCTTGACTGGGATCGCCATGAGGTCATGAACTTAACAATGATCAAGGTTAGTTTGGTTTGTCTTGGTAGTAATTTATAAATGTTTAATAAATTTAATTTTTTAATTTTTCAGACAAAAATTAAATATTTAGAGACTTATTGTCGCGGAAATGAAAGTAAACATAAGTCAAACATTTCGGAGTCAAACATATTGTCATATATTGTGGCAATACTTGTGTTGATTCTGATTGTGTCGACAATTATTGTCGCTTTCATTGCCTATCGATTCAATGGTAGACAACAATCAAAAGCAAAGGACTATCAAAACAATGCGAATAACGGATCCGAAGTCCAAACTAATACAAGAATACCCAAAAAGTAGATCTAGTTTTGAAAAGACTTCACAAAAATAACTCTTTATATTTTATTGATTTAATTTCAACTTTCTTTCACATAAACCCTCAAAATTATTATTATATGTTATGTTAACTTTAAACCAAAATAATTTCTACGTTATTTACCACATTTTTAATTGATATTTTTCGATATAATATTTTGTAATCTTTAATATACAAATATTTTTAGTATATATTAGTTCATTTCTGACTTTAAGTGCATTTAAATATAATCTTATTATTCTTTCTGAAACTCATTTGTATTACAAAATTGAAAAAGTTTCTCGTGTTTTAGTTATAAATTATTGTAAACTGTTTTACATTGTTTTACATTGTTTTACACAAAAACGTTAATTTCAAACATATTTCGGTTTGCATTGAAAATCAAGGCTTCACTTCACTAGCAAAACATGTCTTTATTAATGATACAAATCTTAATTATTGTTAATCTCTTGTGGATTAGTTGTAGTCAATTGCAGACAATAATAAAACCAGACATTTTGGATAAGAGCTCTCAAAATGCAAATAACTTACCAAAAACTGAAGCAAACAAACACAAGAATATCTAGGATTTAAAATATTTACAAAACACGTAATTTTTAATTTGATTTTTATTTTGCTTCATATAAACTATTAGAATATTTTTATTTGTATCAAATCTACCAAATTTATTATATTTAATCTAATTAATGAATCTTTTGTGGTTTTAAAGCAATTTATTTGTAAATTATAAATATCTTTAATGAATAAATATTTTTAAATATACTTTACTTAAATAAAGTTTTTGAAAAATAATATCAATTTAAACTAGATTACATATTGCATTACAAACACTAAATATTACAATACAAGTATTAACCAACACCAGGTCTTTCATGAATTTTAATGGTTTTTACAATCCAATCGACAACACTCGAGGTAGAAATATAAAAACTAATATTTTGACAAACATCACCGGCGTGTGGCCCACGTCTCACAAGTGTGCCCACAAGTATAGCTGTGGTGCGATATTTGTCGGTAAACTGGACCAAACCCGCGCCCTCATCGCCCTTC